AGAAAAAAAAAAAAAATAACAAAGGTTAGAAGATAAATAAATAAAATAGAATAAAAAATTCAACCAGCAGTTGATTCCTTAAAAAATTGAAAAAGCTTTGGCTAGATGACCAAGAAAAAAAGAGAGAAGACTCAATTTACCATAATCAGGAATAAAAAAGGAAACATTATGTTTACCTTACAGAAATAAAAAGGGTTATAAAGAAATATTATGCACAGCTATATACCAGCAAATTAGGTAACTCAAATAAAGTATGCAAATTCCTAGAAAGACATAAGCTACCAAAATCTCCTCAAGAAGGAAAAGAAAATCTGAATAGACCTATAACAAGCAAAGAAATTGAATTATTAATCAAAACTCCCCATGAAGAAAAGGCCAGGTCATATGGTTTCACTGGTGAAGTCTACCAAATGTTTTTAAAAATAATTAATACTATTTATTTACAATCTTTTCTCAAAGAAAAAAAAATAGAAGCGAGAGCTCTTCCGAATGCATTATATGAGGCCAGTACTAACCTGATACCAAGCCAGACAAACAACACAAGAGAACTTAAAAACTAATATTTCTTATGAATATAGACCCAAATATCCTCCGCAAAATACTATGAATCCAACAACATCTAAAAAGGATTATATGCCATGACCAAGAGGGATTTATCCCAGGAAGGCAAGGTTGATTTAATCTAAAAAATGAATTAATGTAATATACCCTATTCATAGAATAAATGACAAAAACCATATGATCATCTCAATGGACACAGAAAAGACAGTTAACAAAATTCAACACCTCTTCACGGTCAAAACATTAAATAAACTAAGAATAGAAGGGAACTTAATCACCATGATCAAAGTAACCAGGCTTCTATTAAAAACCCATCACATTTAGCAGTGAAAAGCTGAATGATTTCTTCTCTAATATCAGGAATAAGACAAGAATGTCTGCTCTCACTTCTTCTACTCAACATTTTACTGGGCATTCTTTTTTCTTTCTTTCTTTCTTTCTTTCTTTCTTTCTTTCTTTCTTTCTTTCTTTCTTTCTTTTTTTCAGAAAACAGGATTTATTGAGAGGACAGAAAAGCTCCCACAATGGGAAGAAATCCGAAGGGGTTGCCTTTTACTGGGCATTCTAACCAGAGCGGGTAAGCAAGAAAATAAAGTAAAAGCCATACATATTGGAAAGAAACAGTGAAACTCCCTCTATTTGCAAAAATCGTAAGGAATCCACTAAAACACTATTAGAACTAATAAAGGAGTTCAACAAGGTTGCAGAACACAAGAATCAATTGTATAGTGGGCACCAAAAAAAGTATACATTTTAAGAAAGAAAAAACTGTATTACAATTGTAATACTCAACATATTCCAATAACAAAAGGTGAATACAAGTCATGTGTGACTTCTGCAACGATAAGAGGTGCTCAAAGTGGTTACCATCAGCGTCCAGACACTTCTGATGACTTGTTACTGTGCAAGGCCTCCCGGATAGTCCCTTGTGCATATCACTCATACCACGCGTCTCAGACTTATGACGAATGCGTGTAATTGCTAAGTGTGTTGGAGGTTCTGTTGCACACTCACGCCTCCATTGTTATTATACTTCCACAACGTTCTCGAATTTCAAATAACACTTCAAAATGGTCTTGCACTCCTCGAATGACAACCATGCTTCTGCCATTCTCTTTGACCGTCCTGCCTGTCACATGGTGACAGCAGCATTCATTTGATTAATTCCGTCTTTTGAGTGAACGTCACACTACACATTGCTACCATAAATCAATTCAACTCTGAAAAGTGATACATAGATAATCTCTTTTAAAATGTGTATACTTTTTTTTTGGCACCCCCGGTATTTCTATAAACTTCCAATGAACGATCCAAAAACAAAAGAAAATTCCATTTGCAGTGGCATCCAGCAAGAATGAGATCATTAGGAATACATCCAGCAAAAGAAGTACAAAACCTATACTATAAAAACCAAAACATTGCTGAAGAAAATTAAAGAAGATTTAAATAACTGGAAAGACATCCATGTTTATAGATTGGAAGATTAAATATAGTTAAGATGGCAATACTCCTCAAATTCATCTTCAGATTCAGTGCAGTCCTCATCAAAATGCCTCCTGGCTTTTCTTCAGAAATTAACAAACTGAGTCTAAAATTCATATGAAAACTCAAGGGACTCCAAATAGCCAAGACAATGTTTAGAAAGAGCAAGTTTAAAGAACTCACATTTCTCGATTTCAAAACGTACTACAGAGTTACAGCAATCAAGACATATAGAAGGACAGACATATAGACCATTGAAATACAATTCAAAGTCTGTAATTCAGTCCTCCCTTTAATCAAAAATTGCTTTTTGACAAGATTTCCAAGACTACAATTGGAAAAAGAGCAGTCTTTTCAACAAATTGTGCTGGGACAACCAAACATTCACTTGCAAAAGAATGCAGTTGGGGCTGGGCTCAGTGGCTCAGCTTGTAATCCCAGTATTTTGGGAGGCCGAGGTGAGTGGATTGCCTGAGCCCATGGGTTCGAGACCCACCTGGGCAACTTGGTGAGACCTCGTCTCTGCAATAAATCAAAAAAGTTAGCCAGGCATCCCCGCGCACGCCTGTAGTTTTGGCTACTTGGAAGGCTGAGATGGAGGGATCGCCGGTGCCCAGCAGGTCAAGGCTGCGGTGGCCAGAAGCGTGCCACTACACTCCAGCCTGGACAACAGAGTGAGACTCCAACTCAAAAAAAAGAATGCAGTTGGACCTCCAACTCATAACTAGACAAAAAGTAACTCAAAATGGATCAAAGACCTAAATGTAAGCACCAAAACTATAAAACAAATATTATATCAAAGGCACAAGTAACAAAATAACAAGTAAACTGGACTTCATTGAAGTTAAAAATGTTTGTGCTACAAAGAATTCCATCAAAAATGTGAAAAGACAATGCACAGAATGGGAGAAAATATTTGCAAATCATATGTCTGGCAAAGAATGTCTATCGGAATATAGAAAGGACTCTTATAGCTCAATAGTAAAAGATCCAATTTTTTAAATGGACAAAAGATTTGAACAAACATTTCTCCAGAGAAGATAGGCAAACTGACAGTAAGCACAGGAAAAGATGTTTGACACACATAGTTAGCCATCAGGAAATGCAAATTAAAACCACAATGAAGCCATCAGGAAATGCAAATTAAAACCACAATGAAATACCATTTCACCCCAATAGAATGGCTATGGAGAAAAGGTCCGATAATTACAAGAGTTTGCAAGAATGTGTTTGTGAAATTGAAACCCTTATGAAATACTTGTAGGGTTTTAAATAAGGCACTTCTTTGGAAACCAGTCTGGCGGTTCCTCAGAAGGTTAAACATAGACTTGTCATATGAGTGAACAGTTCCACTTCTCAGTATATACCCAAAAGAAATAATAATACATGTCTACATAAAAACTCTTACACAAATGTTCATAGCAGCGTTATTCATAATAGCCAAAAAGTAAAAATAGTCCAAATGTCCACAAACTGATAAATGGATGAATAAAATATGGTATAACCATAAGATACAATATCATTCAGCAATAAAATGGAATGAGGCCAGACCTGGTGACTCATGCCTGTAATCTTAGCACTTTGGGAAGCCAAGGTGAGAGAATTGCCTGAGTTCAGGGGTTCAAGACCAGCCTGGGTAATTTGGCGAGATCTCATCTCCACAATAAATCAAAAAATAAACTGGACTCGGTGACTCAACCTGTAATCCCAGCACTTTGGGATGCTGAGGCAAGTGGATTGCCTGAGCCTGAGGGTTCGAGACCAGCCTGGGCAACTTGGTGAGAAGTATCTCTGCAATAAATACAAAATGAGCCAGGCATGGTAGCGCGTGCCTGTGGTTCCGCCTACTTGAGGTGGAAGGATCGCCAAAGGCCAACAAGTTGAGGCTGCGGTGGCTGGGAGCGTGCCACTGCACTCCAGCCTGCGTGACAGAGTGAGACTCCGACTCAAAAAAAAATCAAATGAAGTACTGTACTGGTATATGCTACAAGTGGATGGTCTTGGAAAGCATGCTGAGTGAGTGAAGCTGGTCTTTAAAACCATCAATTGTATAATTACGTTCATATAAAATGTCTACAATAGGTAAATCTATAGATAGAAAGGAGATTTGAGGTTACCTGATGTTGCAGGAATTTTCAACTGCACTGTCAGCTTAGATCCTCAAGTTCTTGTCTCTTGACCAAGAAAATTAAGGAATGCGGACACCAAAAGATGAGTGAAAGAGGAATTTATTAGCTACAGAAAGCTCTCAAGAAAAGAGAAGGGGCCTGAAATGGGTTACCAATACTAAGGACTTGCTTATGGATTTTGTCTTTCCTTTCTAGGGGCATTTTTCTTAATTGCATTTTATCTGCCCTTCGACTTCCTAGCTGCTTCCTGGATCCAGCTTTTACTGTGCACCTGTGCCCCTGTCCAACGTTGCTTCACTTTGATTATTACCCATAAGTACCACAGAAAAGCCCACTGGAGTGGGGTGAGAGGGTGAAACTGCAATGTAAATATCATGTTCATGATATTATAATAAACGGGTCAAGTTAGGACATTTAGTTGAGCTATTGTAGCTGTGTCTGAGTGGCAAAAAGATGTCGAACAAGACATCCTGGCTTAAGAGAATATTCTAAATCACATTTTTAATTGACTGCTACATCACAGGGGCAGTACAAGGGCGTTCCCAAAGGTGTTACTTCTCCTCCAGACCCTCCCCCTCTATCTGCCTAGCCAGTCTCCTAGCTTTCTCCTCTCTCATGGGGCTGGAGGGTGTCACAGAAAGTTGGGAAATGGGAGAGTGACTGCTAGTGCGTATAGTGTTTCTTTTGGAGTGAAAATGTTCTAAAACTGATTGTGGTGCACAGCTCTGTGAATATATTAAAAACCATTGAATAGGCACTTTAAATGAGTGAATTGTGTGATATGTGAAATACATCTTTTATTTTATGGGTTTTTAGAGACTGAGTCTCACATTGTTACCCAGGTTGGAGTGAAGTGGCATAATCATAGCTCACTGCAGCCTCAAACGCTTGGGTTCAAAGGATGCTCCCATCTCTGCTTGCCAAGTAACTGGGACTGTAGGTGCATGCCACCACACCCAGCTTATGTGAATGACATCTTGATAATACTTCTACTTTTATTTATTTATTTGCTTATCTATGTATTTATTTATTTTTTAGTTGGAGTCTCACTCCATTGCTTGGGCTGGAGTGCAGTGGCACGCTCACAGCCACTGCAGCCTCGACCTGCTGGGTTCAGGCGATCCTTCCGCCTCAGCCTTCCATGTAGCAGGAACTACAGGTACACGTCACCATGCCGGGCTAATTTTTTGATTTACTGTAGAGATGAGGTCTCACCAAGTTGCCCAGGTTGGTCTCGAACTCATGGACTCAGGCAATCATCTCACGTCAGCCTCCCAAAGTGCTGGGATTATAGGCATGAGCCACCACACCTGGCCTTCTATGTTTTTTTAAAAATGAGAAAAACAAAGCACAAAATTATATACTATCTAGAAAACATACTGAAAATAAAGGTATACAGAAAGTCGAAAGGAAAAAGATGGGGAGATATTTTTTAAAATCGTAACTCAATACGAGTGGCACTAAAGTTTGGTTTGCTTGTCCCCAACAGATCTCATGTTGAAACTGGATCCCCAGTGTGGCAGTGCTGGGAGATGAGGCATCATGGAAGGTGATTGGTTCATGGGGGAAGATTCCTTATGAATAGGTTAATGTGGGGCAGGGGAGGGGGGATGGGAGGTGGAGTGAGTGAGTTCTCGCTCTGTCAGTTCCTGAAAGAGCTGGTTGATCAAAACAGCCTAGCACCGGTTCTCCCTCTCTCTGCCCTCTTCCCCTCTTGCCATATGATCTCTGCACACGCTGGCTTCCCTTCCCCTTCTGCCATGACTGGAAACATCTTGAGGCTTTCACCAGTTGCAGATGTCCAGTCTTCTACTTTTTTAGCCATCAGAACCACGAGCCAAATAAATAAATGTCCATTATAAATTACCCAGCCTCAGATATTCCTTTTATCTCAGTGCAAAATGAACTAAGACCAGCTGTTACAATATTAACATTGAATAAATTCATGTTGACATTAAAATGATTAACTACAGGCTGGGCTCGGTGGCTCAGCCTGTAATCCCAGCACTTTGGGAGGCCTTGTCAAGTGGATTGTTAGAGCTCGCCAGTTCAAGACTCACCCAGGCAACTTGGCGAGATCTCATCTCTACAATAAATCAGCAATTAGCCAGGCGTGGTAGTGTGCGCCTGTAGTTCCGGCTACTTGGAAGGCTGAGGCGGGAGGATCACCAGAGCCCAGCAGGTCAAGGCTGCAGTGGCTGGGAGCGGCCACTGCACTCCAGTCTGGGCAACAGAGTGAGACACCAACTCAAAAGAAAGAAATAAATAAAAATAAAATGAATAGCTGGGCTCGGTGGCTCAGCCTGTAATATCACGCTTTGGGAGGCTGAGGTGAGTGGATTGCCTGAGCCTGCGGGTTTAAGACCCGCCTGGGCAACTTGACAAGACCTCATCTCTACAGTAAATCAAAAAATTAGTCGGGTGTGTAGCGCGCCTGTAGTTCCAGCCACTTGGAAGGCTGAGGCGGAAGGATCACCGGAGCCCAGCAGGTCGAGGCTGTGGTGGCCGGGAGCAGCCACTGCACTCCAGTCTGGATGACAGAGTGAGACTCCAACTCAAAATAAAATAAAATAAAATAAAACAAGATAAAATAAAATAAAATGATTAACTATAAAGAAGGCTACTTTTTAATGTTCAAAGATTTCATTTTTGAGGAAGTTAGTTTCAAAACTATGCAATTTTGTATTTATCTTGCTTTTAGTCTGACTCTTTCAACTATAACAGGAATTTCCACCTGTCTGCTTCACTGCTGTGTCCCTCAGCAAGTAGAACAGCATGTAGCACATAGAAAACACTCAATAAATATTTATTTACTTACTTATTTTTATTCTTTCAAGGGGTGCACTGGGCCTAGAGGTACTGCAATACCAGATCAATGCATGGAGTGGATGGGGCAAGCTCCTTTTCCAACTCCCTGCTCCAAAAATCCATTTAACATATTGTCCTTGAATAGAGGATGTATCAGATATTAAACTGAGGAGAACAGATACTACATCTGATCTTAGCCAAAAGACCGAGAAGCAGTAATATCTATTGAATAAATAAGTAACTCCAAGATACATAAAGTGGCAAGTGACAGAATAATTAGGTAAATACGCAAGTGCATAGTTTATTATAGTGGGAGACATATAAATCAGCAAGTATATAAAATTTTGAATACCGTGATTAACAATGATGACCTCAGCCGGGCACGGTGGCTCACCTATAATCCCAGCACTTTGGGAGGCTGAGGCAAGAGAATTGCCTGAGCCTGTGGGTTTGAGACCAGCTTGGGCAACATGGTGAGACCTCATCTCTACAACAAATCAAAAAATTAGCTGGGCGTGGTAGTGCACGCCTGCAGTTTCAGCTGCTTGGAAGGCCGAGGCAGAAGGATCGCCTGAGCCCAGCAGGTCGAGGATGTGGTGGCCAGAAACATGCCACTGCACTCTAGCCTAGGTAACAGAGTGAGATCCAACTCAAAAAAAAAAAAATGACCCAAGCGGCATACAGAAAGCATAATATCTAACAATAGAGTAATCAATCTTTTCCAACATAAATAAGATTTGGCTGGGCAGTAGCTCACACCTATAATCCTAGCACTTTGGCAGGGCAAGGTGAGAGAATTGCCTGAGCCCATGAGTTCCAAACCAGCCTGGGCAACTTGGTGCGACCTCATCTCTACAAAAAACAAAACAAAACAAAAAATAAGCTGGGTGTGGTGGCACACACCTATAGTCCCAGCTACTTGGAAGGCTGAGGTGGAAGGATCACCTGAGCCCAGCAGGTCCAGGCTGCGGTGGCCATGAGCGTGCAACTGCACTCCAGCCTGGGTGACAGAGTAAGACTCCAACTCAAAAAAAGAAAGATTCACAGAAACTGACATATACTGGACCGTACAACAAGTCTCAAAAAATTTAAAAAGACTCAAATCAAATAAAACTAGTTCTCTGATCACAGTGTAGTTAAGCCAAAAATCAGCAATAAAGAGCTAACTAGAATAAATGCAAATGTTTGGGAGGAAAAGGAATTTCTAAAAACTTCATGGTTCAAAGTAGAAATCATAATGTAATTAGAACACATAGACAATAATGAAAGAATATTCCACTATCTGAATGACTATAGTGTATTTATCCATTCACCTACAGAAGAACATTTTGGTTGCTTCCATGTTTTGGCAATTACAGATAAAGCTACTACAAACACTCACGTGAAGGTTTTTGTGTTCTTCCTATGGAATTGAACACCTTGAGATAAACTTTTACCCTTATGGTCAACTGATTTCTGACAAAGGACCCAAGACAATTCAATGGGGGAAAGGATCATATGGGAAGAGTATGTTTAGTTTGGTAAGAAATTGCCACACTTGTCTTCCAAAGTGGCTCCACTATTCGGCATTCCCACCAACACTGAATGAGAATTCCTGTTGGTCCATACCCTTGCCAGCATTTGGTGTTGTCCGTGTTTTGGATTTGGGCACTTCCAGCGGGTGTATGGAAATATCTCATTGTTGTTTTAATCTGCAGTTCCCTAAAGGTATATGATATGACACATCTTTTCATGTTGACTTGTCATCTGAATATCTTCTTTGGTGAGGTATCTGTTTAGGTCTTTTGCCCAGTTTTTTTTTTTTAGGGGAGAGCGTGAACGCAGTCCCCCACTACCACAAATTATGCAGTCGAGTTTCCCACATTTGGGGAAATCGCAGGGGTTAGCACATCCAGAGTGCAATGGGTAAGCCTCGCCCTGGGAAAACCACCTTCGTGATCATGATATCTCCCCTGCCAGGTAAGTATTTTTGCCCAGTTTTTAATTGGGTTGTTTGTTTTCTTATTGTTGACTTTTAAGTGTTCTTTGTATATTTTGGATGCCAGTCCTTTATCAGACATGTCTTTTGCAAATATTGTCTCCCAGAGTGTGGTTTGTCTTCTCATTCTCTTAAAGGAGTCAATATTTTTAAGATTACAGGTCTCCTCAGATTGATATATAGATTCAATGTAATCCATAACAAAATCCCAAATTTTTGCAAAAATTGACAAGCTTACCCTAAAATTTATACAGAAAGGTAAGGGCCCCATAATAGCCAAATTAATTTTGATCCTGAACCTGGTGAAGTGAGGACAAATAAATGGGAGGCCCAAACTTTACCTGCATGTTGACCACTTATGTACCTAATCCCAATTTGTGCCCCATATCTTTAAAATAAAATAATAATAATAAAGAAAAAGAAGAAAAAATTCAGAGGATTTACCCCATCCTTTACAACTTAGTATAAAGTGTCAATGATCAAAGATTATGGTAATGGGTAAAACTAGGCATGCAGATCGATGAAATACATTTGAAACAGTCCGGAGATAAACTTTTACCCTTATGGTCAATTGATTTCTGACAAAGGACCCAAGACAATTCAATGGGGGAAAGGATAGTCTTATCGACAAATGGTGCTAAGACAATTGGATGTTCATGAGCAAAATATAGACCCTGTCACTCACAGAAACAAACACAAAATGGATCACAGACCTGAAAGTAAAAGCGAAAACAAAAACTTCTAAGGAAAAGTTCTTCATGCCTTGGTTTAGGCAGAGAATTCTTAAATACAATATTAAAATATGACCCATGAAATTAAAAACTAACACATTGGACTATATGATTTTTTTTAAATGTGCAGGGCAGTTCTCTGGGTGGCCTTGAATCCATTCAGTTCTCTCCCTTTTCTTGTTTGTAATTCTTAAAAATAACTGTAGAATGTTCTAGAAATGCAACAACCTGGGATAGGGAGGAGTCTCTTGAAACTTTCCTGGCCTTGATCCTGTTCTTGCTATGAAATTGAACACCTTGAGACAGAGAAGAACGTCTGGAATGCCTGGGGTTTGTTCCTCTCGCCCTTGGAAGCAAGACATCCTTCAAATCTTTGCCAGTAAGTTACATGACCCCTGAGATATATATAACCCAGAGAGCGCTGCCTTTCCAGTCCCTCAGCTATGGGGACTGTATCTGCCCCAAGCATCTTGCCTGAACCTTGGGATACAGGCTCACAATGGATCCTAGGCTTCTGTTGCTCCTCGCTGCCTAGTCATACACCTGCTTTGCGTACGTGATGTGCTGTGTGTGTGTGTTCTGCCTCACTGTAGCGGGAATCTCTACAGAGAGAGACAGGACACCGAGGCTACTTTGCCAGGAAACAGCACTTATTTATGCCTGCACCGACTCAGTGGATTCGCTTCCAAAGACTGAGCCCCGAGCGCGGGAGGGGCATTGCCTTTTATACATTTTTAGTTTCCTTGTTCCCTGATAAGGCTTGCTTATTAGTAACATACTGGTTAATTGGGTATTTCATAGCTCAAGATTATAGCAGAGTTACACTTGCGCATTACAGATTGGGGCCACATTTCTTTCTAATATGTATCATCCAAGAAAGTTCTTATCTTATGGTGCTAGAAGAACTCTTTCATTATTCTGGGAAGGCTGTTATCTTATAAGACTTGGGGGAGGGGCTCCCTGCCTCATCACCAGACTCATACAAGTTGATCAGTGGTGTATGGGAAGCCTGCCTCACAAAATTGGCACAGTGAGCAGGGTCCTTGTTGACAGAACCATGGCTTGTTGTTGAAGTGGGAGGGGTGATACTCCCAGTGCCTGGGTCAGGGTGAAGACATCTGCTGGGGGCAAGGGCCTGGACATGCAGGTGGATGATTTATGGGGAAAGGAGGGTGATTGGTGAGTGCACTGGCTGAATGAATCGAGGCAGGGAGAAAGCAATGTGGAGACGGGAACACCATGCAAGATCCTCGAATTAAGCCAGGCACGGTGGCTCATGCCTATAATCCCAGCACTTTGGGAGGTGGAGGTGAGAGGATTATCTGAACTCAGGAGTTCAAGACCAGCATGAGCAACATGGCAAAACCTCATCTCTACAATAAATCAAAAAAATCATCCGGGCATCATGGCACATGCCTGTGGTTCCAGCTTCTTGGAAGGCTGAGGCAAAAGGATCACCTCAGCCCAGCAGGTCGAGGCTGCAGTGGCTGTGAGCATGCCACTGCACTCCATCCTCAGCGACAGAGTGAGACTCCAACTCAAAAAAAAAACACAGAAGAATGGAGACAAGCTGGGCACAGGGGCTTGTACCTATAATCCCAGCACTTTGGGAGGAGGAGATGAGAGAATTGCCTGAGCCCATGTGTTGGAGACCAGCCTAGGCAACTTGGTGAGATCTCGTCTCTATAATAAATCAAAAAATTAGTCAGGCGTGGTGGCATGCACCTATAGTTCCAGCTACTGGGAAGGCTGAGGCAGAAGGATTGCCTGAGCTCAGCTGGTTGGGCCCTGTGGTGGCCATGAGCATGCCACTGCACTCCAGTCTGGGTAACAGAGTGAGACTCCTACTCAAAAAAAAAAAAAAAAAAAAAAAAAAAAAAAAGAATGGAGACAAGGCCTCTGGGTCCCCACCAGAACCCAATAGCCCTATACTCCTGTCAAGACAAAAGGGGGAGAGAAAGAGAATTCAGACTTTTTGGGGGTTCTTGGATACCTGAGCCCACATGATAATATTCCCAGGTTCCCGCAGGGAAAACAATTAAACTGAAGATATCAAGAAGCTTTCAGATTAACACAGCAGCCCTAGTGTTTATCTGCACGTGGTGCTTGTAAATGGAGCCCCTCAGAACTTTTTGGGTGCCACTGTTGGTGATTCTTACCACTGAGTGCATTGTAGGCATTGCCATTTTGACGGTTTGTGGCATAAAACATCACCACTTCCTGAGGGGCTGTGCCCCATCACAGCTGACAATTCTAGCCATAACAGTGGGACATATCTACTCCTACCTGCCTCCTGAGCCAGCCAAGCCCCAATGGATTATTCAACAAAAGCAGTACTGCATCCTAAAAGGAGATCAGAATATCACTTGGCTAGTTCAAGCCTTGCTTACAAACTACCCTATCGTGATGCAACAGCCCAGCTTGGCTGGTCAAAAAAGGTCATCCAGGCATGGAAACTAACAATAGACTGTAAGAGGCAGAATGTCAAGGCCAACTTGTGCCAAAAAAGGTATCCCGGTAAGAAAAAAACAGATGATGAAGGAAAGTTGATTAAGACTCCAAATGATACAAAAAGAAGCATTCCATCTTGGTTGGATTGCTCATGGGTTTGGTAACCTCTTTAAAAAAAAAGAAAAAAAAGACAGCTATGACACAAACCCCAGGACACTCACTCACCCAAAGAGCCAAAGAATATTTCCCATGACATCCTGCTCCATATAGTTCTTCTTGGTAATCCACCACTAAGTTTAGGAACTTCACCCCAACAAAATTGTAAGCGTTGTAAGGTTTCTATGTAGTTTCTGTTTCTGTAGTGTGAATGTTGTGATTGGTGAGTCAACTGTCTGTAGCTACTGGTTACACCACAATTGTAACAGAATTTTTACTTTTTCTACAACAACAAAAAAAACTTTATAAATAAAATCTTGACATTAAAAAAAAAGTGTCCCAGATGCAATCAAGCAAAAATGTTTAACCCTGGCAGCACCCACTGATAAAAAGAAGACCTAACGGCTGGTAGACCTCTTTGGGCATGAATGATAGCATGTACCCCACTTGGATGTTCTTTTGGCCCTAGTAGTCAAGGTGACCATCAAAGCCACCAACCTTGGTGAAGCGCAATAATTCTAGCACTTTGGGAGGCCAAGGCGGAAGGGTCATTTGAGCCCAGGAGTTGGAGACCAGCTTGGGTAACATAGTGAGAACTTGTCTCTATTAAAAAATTAAGAAAAAACTAGCCAGGCATGGGAAACTAAAGCGGAAGGATCATCCGAGCCTAGGTTGAAGCTGTAGTGAGCCATGATTGTGCCACTGCACCCCAGCCTAGGTGACAGAGCGAGTCCTTTTCTTTAAAAAAAAAAAAAGCTGCTCAGGCTCAGTGGCTCAGCCTGTAATCCCAGCGCTTTGGGAGGCCGAGGCGAGTGGATTTCCTGAGCCCGCGGGTTCGAGACCTGCCTGGGCAACTTGACGAGACCTCCTCTCTACAATCAATCAAAAATTAGCCGGGCATGGTAGCGCACACCTGTAGTTCCAGCTACTCGGAAGGATCATCAGGTCGAGGCTGCAGTGGCCGGAAGCGACCGCTGCACTCCAGTCTGGGTGACAGAGTGAGACTCCAACTCAAAAAAAAAAAAGCCTCCAGCCTGAACAAGGCCCTTTGCGGCCAGTGAGCCTTGGAAGCCATTTAATAAGCCATGACCCAGGCACTGCCTTTAAAATTACAGGTGTTCCATGCAGGCTGACTGGAGTCTGTGGCAACAGGAAACTACCACTGCATGTACCACCCTCTTAGATTTTGGACACGTAGCTTGCCTGAAGCAATATGGGATATAACCTTTTCTTTCTTTTCTTCCTTCCTTCCTTCCTTCCTTCTTTCCTTCCTTCCTTCCTTTCTTTCCTTCTTTCTCCTTCCTTCTTTTTTTTTTTTTTTTTTTTGAGTCAGAGTCTCACTCTGTTGCCCAGGCTGGAGTGCGGTAGCACACTCATGGCCACCACAGCCTCCACCTGCTGGACTCAAGCAATCCTTTCTCCTCATCCTCCCAAGTAGCTGAAATTACAGGTGCACACCGCCATGTCTGTTGTTTTTTTTTTTTTCTTTTCATATTTTGTAGAAACGAGGTCCTTTTTATTTTTTTGAGTTGGAGTCACACTCTGTCACCCAGGCTGAGTGGCACATTCAGGGCCATCGCAGCCTTGACCTGCTGGGTTTAGGTAATCCTTCCACCTCAGCCTTCCAAGAAGCTGGAACTACAGGCATGCGCCACCACACCCAGCTAATTTTTTTATTTATTGTAGAGATGAGGTCTCGCCAAGTTGCCCAGGCTGGTCTCGAACCTGTGAGCTCAGACAGTCCTCTCACTTCAGCCTCCCAAAGAGCTGGGATGATAGGCATGAGCAGCCATGCCCAGCTGAAACAAGGTCTTGCTATGTTGCCCAGGCTGGTCTTAAACTCCTAGGCTCAAGCAATCCTCCTGCCTCAGCCTCCCAAAGTGCTGGGATTACTGGCGTGAGTCACTGGCCCAACAGAGATACAGCTGTTTTAAATGGCAACTCCTTGCTTACAGTGGGACCCTGGTGAAAACGGAACACCTACAGCCACAGCCATATGTGATGCTGTCACTTGAACTGCCAGTTCTCACTTGGATGCTTAGAAAACCCACCAATACAATGAGACTGGTTCAACTGAGCCTGATTAGCAAAGAATGTGATACATTCAAGATTGGGCCCAGCCAGGGCCCCAAGGGACCAGTAGCTTCATGAACAAATGACTAACTTGCCAGATGTGACTTAATGACCCATAAGGGATGCTTTGGCTCCTCCTCTTACTATCTGTAGCCCAAGACAGACTGGGTCCACTAGGCTAATGCTGCCATCTGGCCAGTAGATAGACATCTTTTGACCGAACCTGGATACAGACATTCCACCCAAAGGATCAAACTCCATGTAGCAGTGACGGCCAAGCAGACCATCCCCCACTGTATGTTTCTACAATTCACAGACTCAGGGGCCACTGCCAACAACCCGGTCGTCTGGTCTGGAGAGTGGCAACTCAGTGACTGGATCGTTAAAGGACTCCCTGTGTGGGGACAAGAGCTTGCTGCCTGGAAGGGACAGATACATGTCACTCATGTCTATGCTGGTTCTAACATGGCCACCCTTGAGAGGAAGTTATGTCATACTTTTGGATATCCCATGGTGAGAGAGGAGATAGAGAAAGGTTAGGCAGCCAGACAGGGTGGGTCCCCCTGTAACAATGTTGCCACAGCCCTGCAGGCTGATATACTCGCATTGGTAAACAAACTCCCTCAGAGCCACTTAAGCTAGAGCTTACTTACTCACTGCTGGAATAGAAAAACAACCAACCAGCTCGCTGCCAAGTGCCGACCAATCAACTCACCATTAGATCCCGACCTCCTGCTGATTGGTCCTTAGTACTGACCAATCAGCACAGCTAGTGCCGACCAATCAGCTCACAGCTAGTGGTAGCAAATCGCCTGGGTCTTAGGGCTATTAAACACCAGATCTCAGCTCCAAATCAACAACCGCCTTAGGTCCTCTCCCACTGTGAGAGCTTTTCTGTCCTCTCCATAAATCCTGCTTTTTCACTGTCTAGCTGTCAGTGTTCCTCATTCCTCCTGGGCAGGAGACAAGAATCCCGAACTGAAGAGCTGCAGATCTGCAGAAGATCGTTGGAGTGAAAGAGTCGTGCACCCCCCAGCCGATGGAGCCGAAGCTGCAGAACTGGGAGAGCTGCTGGAAGAAGGCAAAATTCCACAGCTGAGATGCTTCTGGGGGCTGCAACACTCTCAGGGCTTGACTTGCCAGTCCATTAGTGCCAACACTTTTGGTGCTAGGCCTGCCAGCCCCTCAAGCTGACCCTCTCCGGGGCTTGGCCGTCCGTCCCATTGAGTTGATACTCCTGAAGCCCAGGTGACCTGAAAAATCCGTATCAATGGGATTCTACTTTGACCTTCGCTGCCCAAGCAACATGACAATGGGGCATACTCTCATGGAATACATGCACCTTGTCATCCTTTGAATGAAACTTTTTTTTTTTTGGGTTGGAGTCCCACTCTGTCGCCCAGACTGGATTGCAGTGACCGCTCCCGGCCACCGCAGCCTCGACCCACTGGGCTCTGGCGATCCTTCCGCCTCAGCCTTCCAAGTAACTGGAACTACAGGCACGCACTACCACGCCGGGCTAATTTTTGATTTATTGTAGAGATGAGGTATCGCCTGCCCAGGCGGGTCTGGAACCTGCAGGCTCAGGCAATCCACTCACCTCAGCCTCCCAAAGGCGCGGGATTACAGGCTGAGCCACCGAGCCCGGCTGAATGAAACTTTTGAATGATGCAACACCCAGTTCATATAGCAACTGAAAAAAGGACGTGGAGACAGCCTGTAATGGGATGGTACCCTTGTCTGATGAGGGCGGTACTGACAACAACACAGAACTCCCAACAAGGATTGCAGTGCATGTTAAGAAGCACTGAGACTGGCAGGATTATTGGTGGACCAGACATGCACTTGCCAGGCTGTGCCTGCAAAAACCCACTTAGGGCTCCCAACCATGCTTTTCCTTCCCCGTTTAGAGTGCATGTCCTGGGAGTAGTTTGCGGTTCAGGCCGCTCTGGTATCCAAGACAAGGCTCTCTAATTCTAATCTGGAGGTGATGCTTCTCACGTGGGTGTTTAGAACTGTTATATTAAAATCTATCTTGCACTTTGATTGGATTTTCTTCCCATGCATAGTTTTGTTCCATCATGATTTGATCACATGGAAAACATTGGTTCACTCTGTTTGGCAGATCTTCTAATGGGACACATTGATCTATACACCACTTAAAAAATTAGGTTCATGGCTGGGCTCAGTGGCTCAGCCTGTAATCCCAGAACTTTTGGGGGGCTGAGGTGAGTGGATTGCCTGAGCCCATTGATTCGAGACCCACCCAGGCAACTTGGCAAGACCTCGTCTCTGCAATAAATCAAAACAAATTAGCTGGGCATGGTAGCACGCACCTGTAGTTCCAGCTACTTGGAAGGTTGAGGTGGAAGGATCGCCGGAGCCCAGCAGGTCGAGACTGCCGTGGCAGGAGTATGCCACTGCACTGCAGTCTGGGCAACAGATTGAGACTTCAACTCAAAAAAAAAATCCGGTTGATAAAACCTCCAGTTTTCTCATTGGCAACAAATATTGTTGTTTTTCTTGAAGTGACAGGCTTACTTTGTTCATTCCTGTAAAAATGCCTGCCAAATACCCAAGATTCAATAAATATATTTCCTCATACTTTAAATAAAAATAGTGTTCTCTGGGGAAAAAAAATTGGCTAGTTTAATGTGCATCTAAATAACACAAATAATCCTACTTTGGTAGGCAGCAAAAGCATTTGATGCATACTTCCCATTGTCACACAGAATTTTCAATGTTCATTCAAGGGCTGAGATTTAATAAAATTAATTGTTACACTGCTTCATCAAAGACATTCTTTTTATTTTATTGTTTTGAGTCTCACTCCATCACCCAGGCCAGAGTGCAGTTGCATGCTCATGGACACCCCAGCGACGACCTGCTGGGCTCCGGTGATCCTTCTGCCTCAGCCTTCCAAGTAGTCGGAACTACAGGCACATGCTACGAAGCCCGGCTATTTTTTTTTTTTTTTTTTTTGAGTCAATCTCCCTCTGTCGCCCAGACTGGCGGGCAGTGGCAAACTCACGGCCACCACAGCCTTGACCAACCAGGCTCAGGCGATCGTTCTGTCTCAGTCTTCCAAGTAGCTGGAACTACAGGCATGTGCCACCATGCCCAGCTAATTTTTCTTGATTTATTTGTAGAGATGAGGTCTCGCCAAGTTCCCCAGGCTAGTCTTGAACCTGTGGACTCAGGCAGTCCTCTCACCTCAGCCTCCCAAAGTGCTGAGATTATAGGTGTGAGCCACTGCGCCCAGCCCCAGCTAATTTTTTGATGTATTGTGGAGATGAAGTCTCGCCAAGTTGTCCAGGCTATTATTGAACCTGTGGGCTCAGGCAATCTCCTCACCTTGGCCTCCCAAAGTGCTGGAATTACAGGCTTGAGCCACCGCACCCGGCCAACATTCCTTTTTTTTTTTTTTTTTTTTTTGGACAAGGTCTCACTCTGTCACGCAGGCTGGAAAGCAGTGACATGATCATGGCTCACCACAGCCTCTACCTCCTAGGCTCAAGTTATCCTCCCACCTCAGCTCCTCCCCTCCCAAAGTAGCTGGGTCTACAGGTACGTGCCACCATGAGCAGTTAATTTTTGTATTTTTGGAAGAGACGAGGTCTCACCACGTTGCTCAGGCTGATCTCTAACTCTTGGGCTCAGTGATTCTTCTTCCTTGGTCTTAACACTTGGAAAAAGTGCTCAGAAAACACCAATAATATGATATAATAAGATTAGCAAAAAAGTGTAAATATCCAGTAATGCAACAATAACAATAACAAGCATTTTCGAAGCATTTTGATTATGGCACATCTACACGGAGGAATATTAGACAGCCTCAAAAAATGATAGTGTAGGCTGGGTGCGGTGGCTCACGCCTATAATCCCTTTGGTGGCTCACGCCTATAATCACTTTGGAGGCCAAAGTGAGAAGATTGTCTGAGCCCACAGACCAGCCTGCGCAACTTGACAAGACCTCATCTCTACAATAAATCAGAAAGTTAGCCGGGCATAGTGGCACATGCCTGTAGTTCCAGCTACCTGGAAGGCTGAAGCGGAAAGTATTTCCTGGGCCCAGCAGGTCGAGGCTGTGGTGGCCATGAGCGTGACACTGCCCTCCAGCCTAGGTGACAACAGAGTGAGACTCTGACTCAAAAAAAAAATGATGGTGTAATTCTTGGAGAGAGGATGAATCAGTATGACCTTTCCGGAGGACGATTTGGCACTAATTACCCAAATGTAGTATGTATATAATCCTTTCATTTAAAAATCCCACTGCTAGGAATTTGTCTTAGGACACTGTGATAAGTGTAATTTGTAAATAAATTACACAGTGATATGATCTATAAATTCAGAGTAATATAGCATAGTCTATCATTCTGAATTATTTGAATTATTTGCCATGATGTGTTGAATGAAGTGAAAAGAAGCAATTTGTAAGTGAACATGTTACCTTAAACTTATAAGCATGTTTATGAGGCCATGAGCCTACCATGCTGAAAAAAACAAACACGTGTGTGATTAGACTACTTCATCACTAGTAAGCACCTATTGTGTGCTTAAGATATAAACAACCTGAAGTCATACATGTATTTACATTAAATATAATTGGTAAAGAAGTAACATCTGACTGGGCATGGTGGCTCGTGTCTGTAATCCCAGCACATTGGGAGGCCTAGGCAGGAAGACCACTTGAGGCCAGGAGTTTGAGACCAGCCTGGGAAACACAGCAAGATCCAGTCTCTACAAAAAAAATTTTTAAATAGCTAAGCATGGGGCATATACCTGTAGTCCTAGCTACTTGGGAGGCTGAGGAGGGAGGATCACTTGAGCCTAGGAGGTCGAGGCTGAGGTGAG